TTTCAGTATTAGAAAATACCTTGCAGAATTCATATTTGTAAAACAAACTGCCCACTTCTCCCGCGGCTCATTGATTTGTTTATCCCGTCATACATCCTCTTTACTCTATTAACTTCCTCAACCTTTTCTTTCAGTCTCTCATCCTCCCTCTCGCTCGCTCTCTGTGTTTCAGTCTCTTGTCTTTCTTAATAGAATTAGCGGTGTGTCCATCCGTATGTACTAAACATCTCCCTGTTTCTGACAGCTAATGGGGGCCATTCTGAGTCCGGGATGACTGATATTGAGACATCCTTCCTCCAGGGTAACATCTATAGCAATTTTCCCTTGATTTGCTGAGTGATGGACTGTGCAAAAAGAACATAGACCTAATGATCATTGCGGAGATGGGCTTCTAACTCAAGGCCGCAGAGTGTGGGCGATTACAAGCTATACAATAAGCCATGTCTCCTCCCCCCCTCCTCTCTGCCTTTCTCTCCCTCTGCTGAGGTATTTCCAGAATGCCGCCGGCCATGATGGATTTATGAGTAGGCGATACTTTGGTAAACACCGATGGTGGGCAGCTTTGTCCTCCCCTCTGTGATATAGTGAAGGTCCCCATAAAAAATGGGAAAACCAGGTTACGGCCACCATAGAGCTTGGCTAAACAATAAAAGGCTTTATGGGCAGATATAGGCCTGTACCATAAATGCTGGAATCTGCTGTCAGAGGGACATTAAAGGGATAATGACAGGGGGGTAGCTTTCACAAAATCCCTGCAGCCACTAAGAGGGTCTTTTTTTTTAGAAGCACAGACACTCACTGAGGATAGCCAAGCCCTGGTGTAGAAATCTATAGAACAGTTTAACTTTAGGTCAGGCGTGTCTGCGGGACAAACATGTTGTCATGTGCACATGAGCAGCATGTGGACTGTCCACACTGACTTAAGATAGGAGCAGATGACAACATTTTTATATTACATGGAAAATTGCTGAAATGGGAACAGTAAAACCAGAATTCGTACTCAAGATTTCCCAAATAACGGATTTCAAGAGAAAGAGCGATGCAGATTGCGTTTTTATACGCTAAATTTGCTAGTTTTCTGGCTCGTGGGTGATAAATGAAAACTATAGCCCCTTAAATACACCTTAAAATAAGGTAATTCTGACTATGTATAAAGGGAGCAGCAGAGTATGCGGACAGAAAACCACTAATTGGATGAGTACTTCGAGCAACATGTCAGACTAACTTTCCAGGCAAACTCTGTGTTGCTACAGAAACCCCAGAAAGTTAAGAACATGTGAAATACAATAGAAAATAAGTCAACAACTTCACATGTTATGTTCTCAGCAGAATAGTTCAAGGTTCTTGGGAACTGTACTAGAGAATAAAGAGAACAACGCCTTTCTAAGAGTAACAATAAAAGCTTAAGCTTGTGGGAGAGTTGAATGTGTCCTTCAGTCCTTCAACAAAAGATGACGAACATTGTACAGACCTCATAATGAAAACCTGAATACATCTGAAAAAAAGAGGCTGGTTCTGACCATTGCCCTGGATAAAGAATATTTTATACACATAATGGCACAGTGTGTGTGTGTGTGTGTGTGTGTGTGTGTGTGTGTGTGTGTGTGTGTGTGTGTGTGTGTGTGTGTGTGTGTGTGTGTGTGTGTGTGTGTGTGTGTGTGTGTGTGTGTGTGTGTGTGTGTGTGTGTGTGTGTGTGTGTGTGTGTGTGTGTGTGTGTGTGTGTGTGTGTGTGTGTGTGTGTGTGTGTGTGTGTGTGTGTGTGTGTCCGGTAGATTGACAGAAGAGAGTTGGAAGCATTGCGGTGTTCATCGATAACTGCAGCTTGTTCTCACATTGAAGGGTCGGGCCCTCATTACACATTGGCTTGCAGTCGGGATGCACAGCTGTTGGGTTTGGCTGGTGCTGCCTGTCCGGGCTGCACAAAACCAGCTGTGTAAACAAACACACACACACACACACACACACACACAGAGAAACCGTAATAGCAGCAAGGGGAATGGAGTGGTAGTTTCAGGTAGACTTAAAGCCAACCTCGGCACACACACACTCGCAAATAAACACACCGACATGCACCCAGGGGACATGTGGACCCGGTGGCAGGAGAAAGTCTGGAACCATGCCAGCGGGTATGAGTGGGGGGTGGAGGGGGGATTATGGTGCATCATCACAGTCATAGCATAATACTGCTGACAGCATGTTTTGCCCCACAGTGTGACAGAGACCTGGACATCTCCTTGGGGGGAGGACGGGCAAGGAGAGCACTTTTTACTGCTTCCTAACACCCCAGATTGGGCGTAGAATGAAGGAGAGTGGGGGCAGTAAAAATAGTTTGACACCCTCAAGGTCCAGCCGGCAATCTCCTCTCCGCCCTTGCCCATAAAACACTTTGAATGGCCTCCTAAAAAATCCTTCTCCCCACTCTCTCCCCCCCACTACTCTCCGCTGGGCACTTCCGAATCAAGGACTTTTTACCTCTGGTGGTTTCCCTCTATTATACGCACTTACATAACCGTTTATCTCCGCAAAAGCATCCGCGCCTGAACGAGGCTTTCATCAGGCCCCTCCATCCGAGGGCCTGGACTTTATGCAAAAACACTTTGAAGGCTGAGCTACACGCAACAAAGTCTCGCCTATCGGTGTCAAGTTAGAGAAACTATACGCTATCTCATTCTCTCTTTTGCGCGCAGCTAAAGTACTTTTTTGTGTTTTTGTGTGGCACTTATTGATGCTGGGCCAAGATCAGCCAATGTTGGACAAACCTTGTGTCACTCTTTTACTTTACACAGTCAGGAAGATGCATTACAGACCACAGGTCACTCTCACTTCCCTACATTAATGATACAATAATCAAGTGTGTATGCTCATATTATGTGTATGGTTTTCTGTGTTTATTTGCACTCTTACAGACTGGCACCGCCTGGCACTAAACCAGCACTTGTCTTTTCTATTGATGTGATGTAAGGCAATTCCCTCTACCCAAAAGGCACTTTAACACTACATTTGTTTTATACAAAGCATCTGGATTTATTCAGCTCTTTTTGAGGATGACAAAGTTGTTTCGTTGTTTAAAAATATGTAATCAAGCTGTGAGAAAATGACTTTTTTCAGGCCTAATCTTGTATGCCTCCCCCTTCATAATAGGCAATGATCAACAATCCGTTATCTCTTAGCTTGTTCTCTGCTATCACAGAGTATTACCCCAGGATGAATGCTCTCCCCTCGGAGAAGAAAACAGAGCCTGGAAAATTAGCATTTTCTGACAGCCATTACTCATAGGGCTAATCCTGTCAAGGAATGTGTGGCTGTGCTATCAGGGGTCGCCGCGGCCAGGCCTGCGCATTGGGCTCTTATCAGGCAGGGTAAACACACTGGGGCCTGCATTAAATAAGTGTCACAGTCAGCGGGGGCGGAGCAGGCCGAGCCCCCCTGCCAGGATCCATGCAGATAATCCCTCTCAGAAACCATGTTGGTCCGACCCAGCTGTGGCCTGTGGCTCAGGTGTGGGTGGGGGAGGAGCAGAGTCATTGTTCAGCCAGGGGTGTAGATTGCAACACAAGTCACACTGGTTTTGGGCCATTTACACATTAATGATGATACATTTAAAAGGGCTGTTAATGAAGCTAATGAATTCTGTCTAAAGATGCATTCACAGGCCAATTTGGAATAGTTAACATACCAAAAGAGTAGAAAACGCTTAATATTGCATGTAAAGAACAAAGAAGTGATTTTGTTTTCTAAATCTGCAGCCACAGAAACTGCCTTTACATATTTTAGACATTGTCTGGGACACCCAATCAATTATAAAAATGCCAGACATATTCCGGATATGGTCTTCCTTTTATTTATTTTTTATTAAATAATACAGATTTTCATTTTTGATGGTGTGAAGGTGAAAACAGTCACGTAATCCTCCATTTTCTCCCAAACAAAAATAACATCTAGTAGTGGGTGCCTGGCCTTAATCTCGCCGACTGAACATGCACAGGAACTTGAGCTGGCAACCCTACTCCAGATCACATGACAATCACAGGTCATTGTTTTTTAAAAGCCACAACAACATGACACATGGAAAAAGTTAGTGTTTCTGTAATTGCCACTATATTCACCATTTACATTTGATTGAATGACTAGATTCATGCCTATAGAGATCTACTATATAGCTCTGGCATGGACTCAAGCCTGGTGGATGACATGTGCATGTTTAAATACAACAATGTTGCATGGAATGTTGCAGAGTAAAGGTGGAGTAACATTGCATTAGGAGTGGTGACAGTCTGATGCAAAACAACTTCCTGGATCTAATTCCCCTGCACTGTGGGAAAAGTTATGTGTCAGTTACCATGACAGGGTGCCACTTTGTTTCTCTATGTGGGTGAACTGGGGGCGCCTCTCTGGGCAGCACTCGAGGAAAAGTGTAATGGTGTTACTCTGAGTGTACTAGGTGGGAAACCTTGAATAATGTGGGATGGGAGCGAGCCAGAAAGGCGAATCCGAGTCAGCCAGTGGGTCACCAGGAGTTGAGTCTGCCTACTTCCCCTGGGTTCAGGAAAAGTTCAGGCGCATAGCATTAGGCAAATTAGGGAGACAGGGCTGGGGGAGAAAAAAATCGGAGGGTAGGGACTGATGAGAGCATGGGGGGAAAAGGGTCAAGTTAGTTGGAAGGAGGAGCCCCGAATAAAGAGTCAGAAAGGAACTTCCAGGAAAACATAGCGAGAGAGATCCAGTCTGGTGAGCTCTCATTAAAGCAATAAGATATGAAAGACTCATTACTGAGTTTATATAATCATGTTCTGGGATACGTTTTTATTCACCTACATTTGAGGGAGGACGGCCCCCTCCCCTTGCAGTCCCATAGATGTTAGAGAGAGAGAGTGAAAGAGAGAGAGGGAGATCCATGGTGACGTCCCTGAAGGGGTTAAACGTGGGAGGAGCAACGCATGAAAGGAGACTGCGGGGGGGTGGGGGAGAGCCGAGTGGAGGTGGAGCCAAAGCCCTCAGCTGCTGTGCCTTGTCACATTTTTGCAGAACATGATAGCCGCACGGCTCGCGGTGAGAATGATTTAGGCGTCTCTCCAAAATACAAACAAGGTGCTGCTGCTGCGTGTTTTCCTGGGACCCTGGATATCAGAGAGCGGGGTCTGAAGGACAGGAAGCGGGTTGTTGTAGCCTAGCGCACGGAGGGAGACCGGTTCATTGACGGGGCTGATAGGAGTCCACCCGGGACAACCGACCGTAAACCCTAAAGGACAAACTGCAACTACACGGGATTTCCTCCTTTCCATATTTGCGCTTTTCATCCCATTGATAATTTTCCTGCCTCGCGCACTTGGGAGATTTTTATCCTCTTTTTTGGGATTTTTATTTTCTCTTCACGGTGTGGATACATCCTCAAATGTTGCTCTGTGTTTGAGCAAGGCCGAAAGGACCCATATATATATATTCTGCTGAAGTTATTTTATTATTTGTGTGCGTAAACCCAGCCGTGTTTCTCACATTGCACACCATGCAGATTGTTCTTTTAAATTATGTTTTCAAATTGAGCGCAGCCGATTAGGCTTTTCCAGACACTGATTCACTGCCTCGGTTTGGGGTTTCGATCAATACAGGAGAAAAAAAGATGCCAAATGTTAAAACGCTCCCACTGTGTTTGGATTTACCACTTTTCCTTCGATTTTAATGCAGTTTCCCCCTCGTTTGGCCCCCTTAGTTTCTACCTCTGTTGGTGGCGAGCTGAAAACCACAAGGCTCGCGTTTTCCTGCCACAATAGTTCGCTTTTTGATAATAACCCCTTGCTATCGTCCTGCTCCGTATGATGTATGAGAGCGTGGACGTTGTGGGACTGACTCCCAGCCCGAACCCGTTTTTAATGATGGATTACTACAACCAGAGCAGAGGATGCTTGATCCCGGAGAAAGGACTGGTGCCCGGAGCGCCCCATCCGTACAGCACGTCCATCAGGAACCAGCACTGGAACGGCTCCAATCACTGTAGGTGGAACTCCATTTCACTAATTGGGGAACTTAACACCTCCATGTTAAAGTGTTTATTCATAGGCTTTATACATGGCGAGTCATCCTCAGATTTATTTTTTTAATCTTCAGTATTTAAGGCTTTTATTCCCGTGTTGCCATCCTGTTTTATCTCAATTATTCAAACCCGGTAATGTGCCAAACAGCGTTGCATGTTCGCCATCATCGAGCTTCATAACTGCATTATATATACTTGACCCACTTCCAGCTCTATCTCTCTGCCTCTGTATGAGCCCCGGCTTTGTTTTTTTATTTTTTTATTCTGAGAAACGTCTGTGAGACTGCAGCGCTGTGATCCAGGCCACATTATCCAAAGCGTTTGCGTTCCAGAAATATGTACTTAATACAAACAAGGTTTTGCAAGCCATGCCAACGTTAATCAGATCAAACTTTCCTGCCTGTGTTATCCTCTCTTTGCCTCTGTAATCTGTATAGATGCACCAACAGGCCAGTTCCTGAGCAGCACGGCTCAACTGGACACTGCTGCCCATTTAATGTGCCAATGAGGATTTGTCCTAATTAAATGTATTTTAAAAGCAGTGTTGTATATAGGCTATAGTAGGCAGGCTGGGTGCAACAACAGCAACACACTGTGCTCTAGAATTATAATTGTACATCTTAAAGGTCATGAAATATATCTATCTTGACATTTCAAGACAATATAAACTCCTATAATATTAGATATTTCATTTTCATTGACATTTCTATTACAGGCTTTTCTGCCATGTCTAAAAATAGCGTGTCAGTGCATGATGATTCTTTAAAATGTCAGTAAGACTTATTTAAAATGTGTGATTCAGTCACTGTGCATGTATGTGAGTTAGGTGTGGGTTTCTTTTCCTTGGGTTGAGCAACCACCGCCACTCATGGGAGATTTAAGTCTATTGATACGGTATCTGCTGCAATAAGAGAGAGTTTTATTGCTACAACAAAGTATCAGCGAGGACGATCCCATTCTTTACCTCAAAGGAGCTGCACTGCACAAAGCTCCAGCAGGCCTTTATAGAACAGATAGCTCTGTTGTCTTTCACAGCTGAAGGAGTGTAAAAGGCAGGAATCTCCACAGGCTCTTAAGGGCCAATTTCCTTCTCGTCGAAAGACTATAGAAACACACGACAAAGGGAAGTTAAAACGGCAATTCCTGACGTTTGGCAGGGACACCAAAACCACTAAGAATGGTTGTGTGAGCGCTGTCGTTTTTCTCTGCTTCCTACTTCCAATTTGCATGAAATTCGAAATGTCTCTGGACTAAAAGGAGAAGTCTCATGCATTTTTTTCCAAAGCAGATATCCAGCAGGCGTCATAGTTTTTATCGAACTGACCCACTAAACAGCTCTTGTGGCAGCATTGATTCAAACCATGTGAGCTCGTCTGAGGGAGACTGTGGGGGTTTTGCCCAGGAAAAGACCTCTGATCCCTCACTCGACTCCACATTGTGTTGCTCAACGGAGGACTTGCAGTGTGTGTGTGTGTGTCAGTTGGTGGGTGGGGGTTAGCATAGCTGCTCTTTGCCTTACTGCTTGAATGTAATAAAACATTTAGTGCACAACCAGGGGGGGGGTGGGTTTGAGAGTGGGGAGGCACAACATCCGTTAGTGTCATCACGTGGCTCACAGGCTTATTGGATCACAGGGATAGAAAACAAAACAGACACAACAGAGCAAGGTTTTTTTTTCTTCTAACCTCCCGTTCTTAAGCAGGAATCCAAGGCAGTCAGGCTCAAAAGCACGAGACAATCCCAAAAACATCTGCTGCCTTCGTCTCTTTCTGGACTTTTCTAAAATACCAACTTCACAGACAGTAGTCTCATGGTATGTTATCCTCTGCACGTGGGTTTGGAGACAGATTGCTGGTGGAGCTAAACATTTGTTTTACCCCCTTAGTGCTTTTCCTTTTTGGTCCTCTTGTTTCTTCAACCTCTCCACATTGGGCCTAACTATTCATTACAGGCTTTACAGACGAGCTCTTTGGCTCTCAGAGTGCACTCAATGACATCTTCACAGAAGTAAACGGCCTCCTGGACCCATTAAGTGGCTTGGCATGAATCCAGATCATATGGGCGCTTCATCCCTGATGTTATTAGTCCTTTAAGGATGCTGCCACTTTAGTTGTTTGACTGTTACCATCCAGTTGCTGTCAGCGCAGGTTTGTCCAGATACAAACAACATCAGTGAGCTATAATCAGAGCAACTTCATGGGGAAAATACTCTGGCCTTGCAGATTAAATGCACTTGTTTTTTTTTCTGCCAGCCAGAATCCTTACAGCAATTATGGGCTCATGCATGAAAGAATGTGTATGGCCTTGTTCACATGACTGTCACACACTAAAAAATGGGGGGTATGAAGGATTGGGGGATTGCATGGTGGGCTCTAATGCTCACCAGCCCATAGACTTCTTGCTCTTTGTTTTTTTTCTCAGGCTATCCACAGTGCGAAAGAAAGCGATCACCAGGGATTTCCATAGAGAGTAGACGAGGCAGAGAGAAGGGTAAGCTTTAGCTAGTTTGTCCTCTGAAGGCAGGTCCGTTTGAGTTTGCTATTGGACACGAACGCTTTGTGTCTGAGGGGCAAGTGACTGGCGGCTTAATCTGACTCATGTGGTATTTAAGTGCGGAAGTCCTTTTGCCTAGCAGGAGACTCGGCTCAAGAAAAAACAGATGGTATTTTATTGTTTTTCGGTGCAACGGACTGTATGAGCAGGAGCAATTCTGGGCAGTGATGAAGGGGGAGGTTGGTTGGAGTGGATACTTATGGAGAGGGAAAAAAGCAAGGAAGTTTGAGCTTTGCTGGTGAAGCGGAAACCCATGTGGTTTCTCTTTCGGCTTTCTGAGGCTGAGGCACCAAGTCAATGTAGCAATTGTTTATAGCAACACACAGAAAACTAAGTGACGGATTGGGGTTGGCCTTGCGAAATAACTGAGAATTGCAATCCTTCCCCCCTTTATTTATATGTAAGGATTATGTTAGTCAGGGAATTGAGAAATACATAAACAACAGAGCAGAGAGAAGCTAGTTTTGTCCCCAAACATAATTGAGTACTGTAGTAGTTTGGCATTGAAGGGAGGTTGCTTTCATAAACAGCTGGAGAACAGGTCATCTAAGGCAGAACATAAATACCACATTTAATTTCTTGATTAATCCACTGAGGAATTCTTGGTAAAGCTGATTACAACTTACATAGAAATTACAACTTGTGACTTTGTTGATGTGAAACAACATCGCAAATTCCTGGCCTTAATATTGCTGAACTGGAGCCTTTGTCCTTAATGTCAATGCCAAGTCCCTGAGCCTTATGCTATTTTCTACGTGCTATTAAACGTCCATGGACCTTGATGCTTTCATGGACATGTAGATGGGCGAATGACCTTTCCTCCTGGGGCTTTGTTGCTATGAACTTGATGGAAATGGTAGGATGGATGGACAGCATTGAGACAAGGTTCTTCCAGAGAGAGGGGGAAGCGTCAGGCAGTCTAGAGCCACGTCTGCCTAACCCCTCTCAGCCATGGACGACAGTGATTTAGTAGCCTGAATGCCACAGAAAGTGAGTGTTTGTGTGCGTGCGCGAAAGAGACGGAGATCAGTATGTCCACAGAAACACGCCTCCTTTCACCTTCAGGTGAACATCAATAACACATTTTGTCATCAAGGTATGTTTGTAATGGCACCGGGGTGAAGGGAGTTCAACGCTGCTGCTGCTGCTGCTGCTGCCGCCGCTCTCCTGGGAAAGGCCGCAGGGCAGCATTTCACAACCTGCCATCACTCGCTCCCAAAGCAGCACCTTGCCACCAACCTTCAAACCTGTAGCTGCCGTTTTTTTATGTGATATATCATATTCTGTTGAGGCATTTATGTACTAAAAGAGATAACCTCAGATTGGGATGTCACCATGATTAGGGTTGCAAAGGGGCGGAAAGTTTCCGGTACATTTCCGGAAAGTTTCCATGGGAAGTTAAGCTGGGGAATTTTGGAAATATTGACATTTCAACAGATTCTTTTTTAAAAAGTAGAACAGAACAAGTTTTAATTATTTTATTGAACAATTATTTGTTTCATTGAAGAACGAAAACAGGAATGTTGAGTTAAATATTACTCATCCCCCCCAACCCCACTCATTAAAAAATGAACAAAAATGCACCCCCATCCAAAAATCCCCACAAAGTCCCATTCAAAATGTTTAATAAAAAGAGCCCTTCTCCCTCCAAAAAGTCCCATTAAACATGCAAATCTTCCTTCAAGCGATCCTCTGCATTTTGGCTAAACCCTTTCAGTCAATGGGCTCTTCCTGGGCCTCATCAACATCCAACTCTGAGTCTTCCTCTTCAGTGTCACTGTCCAGCCTTGTTGAGGATGGCTCTGTGTCAGGCTCAGAGAGCCTTAGGTTTGCCCGAATGCCAACCAGTTTTTCCACTCTCACAATTGTGAGCCTGCTGCGAACCTTTGTGTGGTCTCAGTAGCCATGCAGTAAGCAGTGTGCTATGGCATGGATATTCAAGTATACTTGAATGGCATCTGTTTGTTTTAGTCAAGATTATGCTAAAATGTACTTTCCCCAAATATATTTGAGTTCCCTATGAAGAGCCAACCTTCAATTTTGAAAATTCCCAGTTTATTCCCGTTAATTCCCGTGGAAAGTTTCCATCTTTGAAAATTCCCGGAATTTTTCAACCCTAACCATGATTAATGGAGACACATTTTTGTTTGTTAATGCCGGTAGTGTCAGTCATCTTTTGAAGGTGAAATGAGAGGGTGTGGTCCTTTACCTTTGCCTTTGGATATGCACAAACAAGGCTGTGGCTGACTGGCAACTTTTATTTTCTCCTGAGTGTGGCATATTGCAACGGCACTCCATGTTGAGCTTGTCAGATATTCAGCATATTTTCATCAGGGCAGTTTTTTTGTGTGAACACACGCACAGGCCCCACCGATAGGGCCCCGGCTTGTTTGTAGAGAGAATTAGCCTGGAGGCAGCAGGCGGAGAGTACTGTACACCAGTCTAATTTGACGCTAAATCCCCAAACAAGGGTTTGTGTACACTGCAAAGCCCACTTTGATGAACAAAGCCGGGCAGACTGAAAAGATCCAGGCAGTGTCATTGATTCATCAGGGCTTAAAAAGGCTGCTGATTGCAGACATTGTGACATACGGCCGTAATCTCACTATCAATAATTACAGTCTTTCCCCGTATCTCTACACACACACACACACACACACACACACACACACACATACACATACACATACATACACACACACACACACACACACACACACACACACACACACACACACACACACACACACACACACACACACACACACAGGTAGGAGTGAGATCGAAACAGTTCAGGTTAAAGGGGGGTTCTTCCCTCTAAAATATTCATAGCTTCTTCATTTAAATCAATTCGGCTCTACGGGGGCAGTCAAGCGTCAACTGTCAGAAATTGAGCCGGGCCTGTTGTAATCACTTCTTTACTTATCTCTACAGATGGCTTGTTCGCAATGAGCTCTGCATGGCTAGCTCACCAGCACATTGAGAAGGGGCTCTCCCCTCCTTTCCCCATCTCTCCGCCCTATCTCCATGTTTCATCCCCACCCTCTCATAATGGAACACACATAAATTCATCTGGGTATTGAACCAGGGACATTCATCACCCCAGAATTCATCTGCGAGGCATTTTCATTCCCAAAGTGTCTCCTTTCTCTCTCCCACTTTGTCTTTCTCTCCCCCCTCTCTGCTCTCTGTTTCCCATCTCTATGGTGGCATTGCAAGCCTGAGCCGGTCAGTGTCATGATTAAGCTTTAATGCTCGTCTGCCCTAATTTTTCCTCATATTTTACAAGACTTCCTGCCCTCCAATCCCCTTTTTTTTGCCAACATCCACTATATATAGAGTGATTACATTGAATGTCGCCTTGTTTCATCAGTAGTGGGGGACCACCGCCTTCCTTTACTGTAGTCGGCCACTAGCTTTAGGCGAGAGCACTGGGCGGTCGCTTCCACCAACATACTCATCCCCAGTCTGCCTCTGGGGATCTGTGTTAACATCACATGGATGACAACTGTGAACACCTAAAAAAATTCACACAAACACACATACACAGCGATGGAATGCCCTTCTATTTAAAGAGCGGGACAGCCGAGGAAATAGGGTAGAGGTTAGTATGCTAAAAATACAAGAGCCTGGCCGTTCTTCTGCTGTCTGAGCAGAAAATAGCACCGTGCTGCTGCCATCCCAGTCAGCGGTGGTAACTAAGGAGCAGGAGAGAACGCTCATGCCCCGGATCATGTTTGTATTTAACGCGAAAAAGAAAAGGGAGCTCTGTGCACACAGAACAACAAAGTCACCCCTTGGCTAGAATCCTGCTTGTATTAATCACCCTGCAGATCTTAAGATAGAAGATATGTCTCACTGCGGTCAATAACTGGAGGTCTTATATACCTGCCTTTCATGAAACCTGGTGTTGATGTCTTTAACATGCCCCAAGGCTGCATGAAGGGGCACGTTTCTGTATGTCTTGATTTATAGAAGCGTCTTTTAAAGTAACTTTAGATATCCATATTGTGTATCGTCTCCTCTTTGGTTCTCTCTTCAGTCAGTCTACCTCAATGTGGTCCCACTTAGAGAGAGAGGAGCTCGGTCTGTCTGGACGCCACTGTCTTCTCTTTCCCACAGCCCCTCTGAATCATTTCATATTCATTACGTGTCTGGCTGGAGGCCGGCACTCTGACATTTGACTCTTGAAGGCCCATCTGGGACCGGGATGAAATAGACTGCAAACAGTGCGGCGAAGGTGGGAAAGAAGAGCGAAGTGCTCGATAGTGACGGATAGGACGGCGTGTTCGACTGACGGCTCGGGTTACAGGCCGCTTTTTCCCTGTAACCCGGTTTGTGATATTAGCGTCGTGTGAACTGGAAGATGCCCTGTAGCCGAGCACATCCGAACACGTGTAGGTTAAGAGGGGTAAACGAGAAGACACCGAGGCGGCTGGATCCTGTTTGTTATGAATAGAGCCACTGTGTGTTAAAAGGGACCCCGCTCTGATATCAAGCGGGCCCTTCATTTCAGAGAGACGTATTGTCTAACTTTCGCTGTGACCTGCAGTGTCTTATCAGGGCCATTGTTGGTGAAGTACCTCGGCTGGGAGAGGGGGAGATATCACAATAATGAAGTGGTCATGTCAGATGCAGAGGGGCGCTCATTGTTCTGCGTAGAATACATATGTAACCCGCTTTGATGCTTGTCCGGTTAAGTTGGAGTTTTGTTTCTGATGTTTCATACCCGGAGACAATGCACTGGCCTGTAAAGAAACCGAGATAAGGCCCCTAGGATGACATGAACCTTCCTCTCTGGATGAAACTAGACACATGAACGTCTTTGTGTATTCCTAGTCAGTGTTTTCAAAAGTCCCCTCGGCCGCCGGATGTTCCTTCAAATTTGGGAAGGGGGTGGGCTGATGGGGAAATATGCAGCCACGCAGCACTTGGAG